AAAGATGAGAATTCTGAAAACAGCTAGGGAGAAACAAAGAGTAACCTCTAAGGGAGAGAGCAAATAAGATTAAGTGCCAATTTCTCAGCAGAAGCCATGTAAGCAAGAAGACATACATCATACTCAAAGAATACAACTGTCAACCAAGAATAGTGAGCAAAACTGTCCATCGTATATGACAGATCAAGGTATTCTCAGAAAAGCAGAACCTAAGGGAGTTTGTAAAAACAAGACCAGAGTTGCAGGAAGTACTGAGAGAAGTCCTTTTCTAGAGATGCCACAGAAAGCAGGATGGACCAAAGTAACTAGCAACAGCACTGAAAGAGTGCAACAAAATGATCGCAATAAAACCGTGCCTCTCAATTATTACACTGAATGTGAATGGTTTAAATGCATCATTGAAGAGAAAAAGAACAGATTGGATAAAAAACCAAAACCCATCAGTATGCTGTCTACAAGGGACACATCTGAAAAGTGAAGATTAATACAGACTAAAAGATTGTAAAAAAAACATACCAAGCAAATAGCAACCAGAAAAAAGCAAGAATAGAGATACTAATCTCTTATAAAATAGATTTCAGCACAAAAACCATCATGAAGGACAAGGATGGTCATTGTATAATGCTTAAAGAGTCGAGAGAATGAGAACATAACCATAATAAATAAGTATCTACCAAATGATAGTACTGTAAAATACACACAGCAAACATTAAGAGAACTGAAAAAAGAAATAGACAACACCACAATAGTAGTAGAAGACTTCAATATACCACTCTCAAAAGATAGCACTACCAGAAAGAAACTCAACAAAAATGCTGATGAATTAAATTACACATGCACTAACTTGATGTCATAGATACACATAGGCTAATGCCTCCAAAAAAGCATAGTATACCACTTTCTCCAATGTTCATGGAACACTCTCCCTTATAGATCCCATTTTAGGTCACAAAGCAAGCATCAATAAATTTAAAAACAGAAATAATACAAAGAATCTTCTCAGACCATAATGCTACAAAATTAGAAATTAATAGCAAGAGGATAAAGGTGAAAAACATATATTTGGAAGCTGAACACCACCTTGCTTGAACAGGAGTGGGTACTAGAAGAAATAAAAAATGAAATAAAGTTTCTTGAAACAAATGACAATGAAAACACAACTTACCAAAACCTCTGGGAAATAGCTAAAGCAGTAATTAGAGATCAGTTTATAGTAATAAGCAGACATATCAAAAGGAAAGGAAAAAATGATAATTGATTCTTTAACCCAACAACTTCATCAAGTTGAAAAAGAACAGCAAGAAAACCCAACCCTCCTCAAGAAATCAAAATTATAAAAATTAGGGCAGAAATAAATGAAAACAAAAACAGTTGAAACCTTCAACAAACTGGGAGTTGGTTCTTCAAAAAGGTCAGTAAAATCGACAGACCACTAGCAAAACTAACAAAGGAAAAGGAAGAAAAGACAGAAGTAATCTGAATAAGAGATGAAAGGGGCAATGTCACAAAAGAACCAAATAAAAGAAAAAGGTTAATAATGGAATATTATGAAAACTATAGGAAATGGACAAATACTTAAAAACTCATATCTACCTAAACTGACACAGACCAAAGTAGAAGACTTGAACAGACCTATTACTAAAGAAGAAGTTGAACAGGTCATAAAACAGCTTCCAACAATAGGAAAAAGCCCTGGACCAGATGATTTTACTAGTGAATTTTATCAAGACATTCAGAGAAGAACTCACCAGTTCTCTTAAGTATTTTAGAAAATGAGAAGAAATTCTAGACTCATTCTGTGAAGCAAACATATCCTTGATACCAAAGACATCATATAGAAAACTATAGGCCAGTATCCCTCATGAACATAGATGCAAAAATCCTCACTAAAATCCTGGCTAATAGTATTCAACAGTATATAAAAAAAATAATTTGCTGTGATCAAGTGGGATTCATAACAGGTGTATAGGGATGGTTCAGCATAAGAAAACAAATCGGTGTAATTCATTACATTAACACGATTCTATCATTTAATGCAGAAAAGGCCTTTGACAAAATCCACCACCCTTTCCTGACTAAAACACTCAATAAAATAGTAATAGAGGGGAATTTCCTCAACATAGTAATAAATATATGTGCAAAACCGAGAGCCAACATCATTCTCAATGGTGGAGAGATTAAAAGCATTCCCTTTAAGAACAAGAACTAGTCAAGTATGCCCACTATCATCTGTCCTATTCAATATTGTATTGGAAGTCTTGGCAATAGCAGTAAGGCAAGGGAAGGAAGTAAGAGGTATCTAAATTCACAAAGAGGAGGTAAGATTCTCTCTATATGCAGATGATATGATAGTAAAATTAGAAAAACCTAATGTCTCAGAAAGCTACTGTGCATCGTTGACCAGTTTAGCAAAGTGGCAGGCAGGATACAAGATTGACATACAAAAATCAATTCTATTTCTCTGCAGTGACAAGAATCCTCTATAGTGTTGTTAGGGTTTTCAGAGGCCTGTTATTTGGGAAGTAGGTGGCACATTCTGTTTCCTAGTCTGTCTTAATCAGGAAGCTCCATCAAAACCTGTCCACCATGGGTAACCCAAATGGCATTTACAGAGCAGTAGCACAGATTTCAGTTTCACAGCAACCCCAAGTTAGTACAGCAAACCGACAGACAAGTTCTGTACCACTTAGAACAATGTTTTCTTCAACCACTATCATCACAACAAATCAACAACAAACACAAGAGCCCTATTCAAAGAAAATTACAAACTATTACTGCAAGAAACAAAAACAAACCTAGAGAAATGGAAGAATATACCATGCTCAAGGATAGGAAGACATAGTATTGTGAAAACGACAGTTCTTTCAGAAGCAATCAACAATTTTGGTGCAATCCCAGTACAAATAACCAATTCCATTTCCCTCCAAATCTTGGAAAAGGCAATTTCTAGTTTAATTTGGAATGGAGAAAATAACCTGAATAAGGAAAACACTCCAGAATAAGAGAAACAAGGTAGGAGGCATCTCACTCCCTGATTTAAAATTCTACTACATAGCCATGGTGGTCAAGACAGTGTAGTACTGGTACAGTGGCAGATACATAGATTAATGGACTAGAATAGCGAACCCAGAAATCAGCCCCATCTACTTATGGTCTACTAATTTTGACAAGGAGTTGAAATCAGTGAAGAGGGGAAATGAAAGCCTCTTTAACAAATTGTGTTGGAAAACTAGAAAACTCAAGCAAGACCCACACCTCACACCATACACAAAAACCAACTCAAAGGGGATTAAAGACCTAGAGGTAAAAACAAGGACTATAAACTTCATCAGATAAAAGCTTGGAAGAATTCTAGAAGCCTTAATCACAATATAAATAGTCTTCCAGGCATCTTGCGAAACCTACAACCAGGAGAGGATAAAATAGATGATGGGGCCTTTTAAGAATTAAATTGCTATGCACATCAAAAAACTTTTCAAACAGGGTATAAAGGAAAACAACAGACTGGGGGAAAAATATTTGGTAATGACGTATCTGATAAGGGACTTGGATCTAGAGTTTATAGAATATTTCAGGACCTTAACAAGAAAAAGGTAAACAACCTGGTCGCAAAATAGGCCCAGGACCTGAATAGACACTTCACCAAAAACATTAAGATGGCAAACAAACACATGAAGAAATGTTCAAAATCCCTAGTTCTCAGAGAGATGCAATAAAAAATTAACTATGAGGTATCCTCTCACCCCAATAGCAAAGATCAGCAAAGCAGCAAACAACAAATGCTGGCGAGGTTATGGAGAGATTGGAACCCTTATTCACTGCTGATGGGAGTGTAAAATGGTACAACCACTATGGAAGGCAGCATGGTGCTTCCTGAAAAAGTTGGAAATAGACGATTTGACGCAGCAACTCCACTACTAGGAATATACTCTAAAGAAACCAGGGCTGCCACCCAAACATATATGCACACCCATGTTTATTGCTGCATAATTCACAACAGCAAAGAGATGGACACAACCCAAATGCCCATCAATAAATAAATGGATAGTAAAAGTATGGTATAGTCACACAATGAAATACTATGCAGCACTGAAAAACAAGGAACTCATACTGCACAGTGTGACTGACCCTTAAGAATATTATGCTGAGAGAAATATATCAGTCACAAAAGGACAAATATTGCATAACTCCACTGTTACAAAATAGTGGGGGTTGAGGGGAAACTAAAAAAGGGGTAAAGAATGAATAGTGCGTTAGAACAGATGAAAGAAAGAATTGGTAAAAGGAACATATTAAGAATGCTTATAATGATTTGGCATTGTATATACTTCAACAACCCCGAATGAGAGGTACATTGCAAAGAGGACTGGGGTGGGGGGAGAGGGAGGGAATTGTTCAACAATGAAAGAATAGTAAAAAAAAAAAATAAAGAACTGAGGGAGGTTGGAAAAGGGGATAAAATGTGCAGCGATGACTAAATGAAAATTAACTTCCGTAAACTTGTCAAAATCACAATTGAAATTATTACAAAGAGAACTGTGGGTAGGGAAGAAAATCCAAATCTTCTGTAAAATCTTGTTAAAATCACAATTAAAAAGTAATTTTATATCTTAAATTTTGGAGATGAGAGGAAATGGAGATTCAGATACAGTAGTTAAAAGGTATTTTTATACTAAAAAAGGGTTGAATTTTTTTTTAATTTTCTTTGAGTTGAGCATGACTCATAGTGACCCTATGAACAAAAGGCCTGAAGCCTTTCTAGAACTTTCATTGTTTCTCAAAGTTCATAGAGTTTCAAGAGGCATGATGCTTAGGAAGTGGATGCCACTCCTGCTTCCAAATAGGGTAGCTGGAATAATTTCATTACCTTGATAAAGAAGCATGCATTTTTATACATTGTTGCTTAGCTATTCCCACAAATCTCCCAATACAGTGAATTGAGATTTTGAAAACTGCTGATTTGGAAATATTTTCTATTAATTTATGTTTTCCTATTCTAGACTTTACCAAATTTTAGAAGGCAAGAATAAGAAAAAAGAACTGTTTAGAACTCATGGAAACTTGGAGGAGGCAGCTGAGAAATTGAAACAGGATGTTTCCTCATTACGAGATCAGTTGGCAGTATCTACTCAAGAGCATGCGTCTTTCATGTCTGGCCTGAATAATGACGTGGATATGCTCTGTGATGTTCTCTATCAAGGAGGAAATCAGCTTCTGATTACTGATCAGGTAAGTGCTTGCCAGACCAGTTATCAGTGCTTTAAAAAGAAATGGTAACAAATCCCATTGCCCTGATAGAAAATTTGTTTTGCATATTTCTTTCTAGTGTGTGTACATATTTATAGTTTTTGGGTAACTTTGACCAGTGTACCTAGTATTTTTTTTTATTTTATTGCTATTTTAATGAAAGCTTACAGAAAACTTGGAATTCCATTCATTCATTGTCTCACATTTTCCTCCCTACCCCCCCTTTTGCTTTTCTCTTTAAAAAGATTCTTTCATTATTGCACAATTTCCTCCCTTCCCCACCCCGTACCTAGAATTTAAATCAGTTATAAAATATTTCATATACGTAAGAAGTTAGGTGTTGATGCTAAATAGTTATAATAAAAACCAATCTCTATATTTTTAAATCTATGTTAACAATTCGAAGGTTGTACTTCCATTAGAAATCCTCTGTAGGTACTGATGCACCCTCCTTCCAGTAGCACTCCCTTCCCTTCTTTGAGGAGTAACAGTGGTGCTTAAGTTTGTTATCATTTGCTTGCTTTTTAAAATCAATTTGTTATGTATTCATAGAGTATATTCTTTTTAGTTTTACATGACATTATACTATATAAATTCTTTAGCACCTTGCTTATTTAACATTATAATTTTGAGATTCACTCGTTCTGCCAATGTTCACAGCTGTGTTTCATTCATCAAGGGGTTCACTGTGTGGGTGGTATTCCAATTCAGATAGTCCCCCACTTATCATGGGCTTCTGTTCTGATGACTCCATTGTAAGTCACATGCCTCATTTTTAAAATTCATTTTTCATCATTATTGTTGTTATGTGCTGTCGAGTCATTTGCGACTCATAGTGACCCTGTGTACAACAGCCCTAAACCCTGCTCTATCCTGTGCCAATCGCACTGCCTCTGACACACCCATCCCGATTACCCCAGTCACTGAGTCAGTCCACCTCATAGAGGGTCTTTCCCTCCTGCGCTGTCCCTCCACCCTACCAAGCATGATGTCCCTCTCCAAGAACCTGTCTCTCCTTACAGCATGTCCAAAGTATGTCAGACGAAGCCCCAGAATCCTTGCCTCCAAAGAGCAGCCTGGTTTAACCCTCTCCAGGATGAATCTGTTTGTTTTCTTGGCAGTCCATGGCATTACAGTTCAAAGACATCAATTCTCCTTTTATCCTCCCTACTCATTGTCCAACTCTCTGATGCATAACAGGTGATTGCAAAGACCATGGCCTGTATCAGGCGCACCTTAGTCTCCAGAGAGACACCGTTGCTCTTGAGTACTTTAGAAAGGTCCCTAACCGCAGACTTTCCCATCGCTATAAGTTTTTTGATTTCCTGGCTGCTGGTGCCAAGAGTATTGACCATGGAGCCGAGCAAACTGAAGCTGTGAACAATCTCAATTTCTTCGCCATCCATCCTGATGCTACCAGTTGGTCCAGTGGTGAGAATCTTTGTCTTCTTGACATTGAGCCTCAGTCCATACTGAAGGCTGCAGTCCTTGACCCTCTGCAGCAGGTGCTTCAGGTCCTCCTCAGTTTCGGCAAGCAGGATTATGTCATCTGCATAATGCAGATTATTAATAGATCTTCCACCAATCCTGACGCCACACTTCTCCTCATAGAGCCCGGCCTCTCGGATAATCTGCTCTGCATACAGGTTGGAAAGGTATGGAGATAGGACACATCCCTGGCGTACACCCTTCCCAGTTTTGAACCATGCAGTGTTACCCTGCTCTGTTCTTACTACTGCCTCTTGGTCCAAGTATAGGTTTCGCATTAGCACAATCAAGTGTTCTGGGATTCCCATTCTTCTCAGAGTCAGCCACAGTTTGTTATGATCCATGCAATCAAATGCCTTTGCATAGTCAATGAAACACAGATAGACATTCTTCTGTATTTCCTGCTTTCAGCCAAGATCCATCTAACATCAGCTACAATATCCCTAGTACCACGACCCCTTCTAAACCCAGCCTGGACTTCTGGCAGTTCTCTGCTGATGTACTGTTCCAGTCGTTTTTGGGCAATCTTCAGTAGAATCTTGCTTGTGTGTGAAATCAATGATATTGTTCTGTAGTTTCTGCACTCAGTTGGGTCACCCTTCTTTGGAATGGGAACAAATATAGATCTCTTCCAGTCAGTTGGCCAAGTCGTTGTTCTCCAGAATTCTTGGCACAACTTGGGGAGCACATCCAGGGCAGCATCTGTTATCTGAAATACTTCATTTGGTATATCATCTATTCCTGGGGCCTTATTTTTTGCTATTTCCTTCAAAGCAGCTTGAACTTCTTCCTTCATCACCATAGGCTCTTGCTCAAATGTTACTTCGTTAAATTCTTCTGTATCTGCCAATTCCTTTTGATACAATTATTCAGTATATTCCTTCCATCATCTTTTAATACTTCCTGGATCATTTAACATTCTGCCGAAAGCATCCTTGATTATAGCAACCCTAGGTTTGAATTTGTTCTTCAGTTCCTTGAGCTTAAGAAATGCTGAACGAGTTCAGCCCTTTTGGTTTTCCGACTCTAGCTCCTCGCACATTTCATTGTAATATTTTGCCTTTTCATCATTACTGCTTTATATTATAAATATCTTTTATACTTAAGGGAGCTGTGGTAGCATAGTCTGTGTAGGGCCTTGATCTGTTAACTCAAAGGCAGCATCTCTCTGGTGATTCAAACCCACCAGCAGCTTTGTGGGGAAAAAATGAGCGACCGTCTCCCATGTGATTTACAGCCTCTGAAAACCCCATGGAGGGTCAGCTATGAGATAAGTCTGACTCATCAAACAGTTTGAGTTAGGGTTTTTCAAATAATCTTATTTTGTCTTAGAGGATTGTGTATTTCACATAAAAACTTAAAGATCTGTTGATATCAGTATATTATATGTTACAACATCATATATAGTACATAATATTAATAATCAATATTACATAAGATACCTTAAATAACAGAAACAAAAATACACAGAGCATTCCTAAATATGGGTTAGTGTGACTTTTGAAGTTCACATAGGTCTTAAATCAGAGACTGCTTATAGATAAAATCCCACAATTGAATTAGTTTCTTTTTGACACACATAAAAATAAAACCACCTCTATATTTAGAATTCTTTTTTAACAAATAGAAAATTATACTTCATTTTAAAACCTCTGTAGCTTAATATTATTAAGTTCCTTCAAATTTTCTGTTCTACATAATACTGCTGTGGAGAGTCTTTTTCTATGTTTCATAGTTGCAGGTTTATATAGCAGAAGCTCTTATAAATTTCAGTTGTGAGACATGCAGAAAGACCTGCAGACAGCAGTGCTATTTGTACTGTTCGGTCCCATGGACCTTGTGAGGAGCAGATTGGAACTTTGTCCTATCTTATGCCCTACTAATGATCTCCACCTTGCTTAAGCTCATTGTTCATTCATGTGTCAGCCCATCTCTTTGAGGGTCTTCTTCTCTTCACCTGACCCTCTACCTTTCCCATCAGGATGTCCTTTTCCAAGTTGCCCCTGCTGGCAACTTGGCCCAAAGTATGTAAGACTCCCCAGCCTTGCCTCTAAGGAGCACAGTGGTTGTCCTTCCTTGGAGATGGATACATTTGTTCTTTGGACAGTCCGTGGTGTTTTCTGAAGATTTGCTGCTTGAATTGTGGTGGTGAAGAGTGTGGAGTACACCACACAATCTTTGTAATAGCAAAAATGAGCTATATGTGTATATTGTATATGCACATGTAAATGTTACACAGGTCTGGTCATACAGTGTGTTGCGTGTTGTGCGACTAATAGAAAGGTCAGTGGCTTGAATCCATAAGCTGATATGCAGAAGAAAGTTGAGCAGTCTCCACCTGCTAAGGTTTATACCCTCAGAAAGCCTATGGAGGGTCCCTCTGGGTTGGAATCAACCTTGAAAGGTTTAGAAGAGGTCGTGACAGTAGAGACATTATCGCCAGTGTCAGATGGATCTTGGCAGAAAGCAGTTTCTATATGTTTCATTGACTATGCAAAGGTATTTGTGTGGATCACAATAAATTGTGGCTAACCTTGAGGAGAGTGGGAATCCCAGGACACTTGATTGTGCTCATGTGAAACCTCTATTCAGACCAGGAAGCAGTCCTCAGAACAGAGCAGGAAAGCAGTGTTTCAGGGATGTGTCCTGTTTCCATACCATTTCCATCTATGTGCACAATAGATCATTCAGGAGGATGGGCTTCATGAAGAGGAATGTGGCATCAGGATTTGAGGAAGATTCATCAGTAATGTATGTTATGCAGATGACACAGTCTTGCTTGCTGGAACTGAGGAGGACATGAGGTGTTTGCTGAAGAAGGTCAAGGATGATAATCTTCAATATGGATTGAAGCTCAAGAAAGCAAAGATTCTCACCACTGGGCCAATTGGCAACACTATGATCGGTGGAGAATAGATTGAGGTTATGAACAATTATGGCATGCTTAGCTCCACATTAAAAACTCTTGGGTCCAACAGTCAGGAAATCAAAAGATGAATCACACTGGAAAAATCTGCTGTCAGGGACCTTTCCAGAGTACTGCCAAGCAGACTAACGTACTTCTGATCTAGGTCATTATCTTGGCAGTTACTTGTTATGCATCAGAGAGCTGGACAGTGACTAAGGATGACAGAAGAAGAATCACCTTGTAAGTTGTGGTGAAGAGTCTTGAACATATTGTGAATTGCCATGAAAACAAAGAGGTCTGTCTTGGAGAGGGTGATACGAAGTTTCTCCTTGGAGGCTAGGAATTTTTTTTCTTTCAGTTTCGTCTTTTATACTTGGGCACATGGCCAGAAGGGACCAGTCCTCGGAGAAGGACATTCTGCTCGAACGGGTGGAGGTACAGTGTAGGAGAGGAAGACCTTGGATGAGGTGGATTGCCATAGTACCTGGGTTAATCGAGGTAGGTGGGTTGGAGTCAGTTAGACTGGCTCAGGATAGGGCAGGCTTCAGAGCTGTTGTACATAGGGTCACTGTGGTTTGCAGGTGAC